GAACCAGGCTGACCGTCATTTCGTCTCAGCGCAGCTGATTGTCTGGCCATGCATGTAGACGTTTTTTGTTGGCGCCCAGGCCAACATGATGATGGCTACTGTCTGTGTTGGTGCACCAATCTTCTAGGAATTCTGCCATCTGTTAGTTACGCCGATCACTTCGGTACCGTGCTATTTGAAGCGGCCATCGTATTCGGGGGCATGAGCAAAGATAAGATATTAGTATTCACGCCAGTGGATTGCGTTTTTTATCTGTTATTATGGTCCCACTTCGTCGGCTCTTTTGGCAAAATCGAATGAAAGAGTAGTTGACATGGCATTCGTTTGCCGCTCTTTATGCCTAGGATGTTGGATGTAATGCTGCGCTCTGAGAGGGTAGGGCTTGTGGGCGAAACACGCGTCAGAAGTTCTTCGCATGCAAGGAAGGGAGTATAATTTTTGCGGTACTGTGCCTCCGTTATATCTGAAGCTTTATAGTTGTTTCTGGCTCTTGGAAGAGCCTTTCACCAAATTGATGGGTATTTATTGGACCCGATTAACTTATACGAGTAAGCAAATTATTTCTTAGGCAAATCATCACTTCTGCAGTCACAAAATGCCCGGTTGGAAGATTTCTGACAACTCCTTTTGTGGGCTACGAGGTGATTGCTTTCATAGTTCAGTCTGATTTTGGCGTTAGTCTTTTTTGTGTGAAGACATGTTACTAGTCGACCATCAATCTGTCTTTGTCCACTCCCGTCTTGAAACGGAAGGTTGTCTCCTGTTGCCCCGTCGCAAGTAATTTGTTTAGCTGGCATGAAACAGTCTTTCAGTATCACAGTTCCTTATTGCTAATAGGGGAGTCATCGACGTTCCGGTGCCACATATTTAGCTCGAAACGCCTAGTCTCGTCCTCATTGGCGAGCCCATTAGGCTACATTTGAGCTATTGATTATGTTTATAATCGTATTGACAGAACCTAGACATATGTAAGCAATGCTGCGTTAAAAAGTTAATAGGGTCTTCTCGTAGTGCTGAAGTGCATTAAAGTGTCACTTGTCTGTGACCAAGTTGTCCGAGATCCTCATCAGCCTCGGAGTAAGGATCCCGATAAAATTGCTAATTTTACGGACATTCTGCGAGCACTCCGTGAGCCGAACAAATCTCACTTATAACCTAGCCTTCGAAAAACGTTCTTAGATGTACAAAAAGTAACTCAACTCTTAAGTTTGGATGCATAGGAAATTCAAGTGCATTGTATGCTCGTCCGGAATATAGTTCTGCAGTACTGGCAATCGTGATATTATTTGTCAGGTAAACGGTTTTGTCAACTTCGCTTATTCTGTGGTAGTTTCGTGAAGGGCTG